ATGACGGTATTTCGAGTGAGCAGCATCCATAACTGAACGAACGATTAGTAACAGAGTAAGAGAAAGACGGTGATAAACCCATCGTCCGTCTATATACATAGGAAAATAACAACAGTAAAAAGAAAGAGAAAAATAACTATTGTCCTGTCACTAAACCGGCTGATCTATATTGAAAGATATAATTGCGGTGTAGAAATAGTTTTCGGTTTTTTACTGACATTTGTAGATGCTTTCTAACTTTGTTCATTAAAATGATGAAAACAAACAGACTCGTATGACGCGGAACAGTCGTAGTCGATACATTGTATATTTCGGACCATATGGACTTGAATTCTTGACTTACCAGGAAGATGCGGAATTTGAAACGACATTTAATCACTTAAGGGACACTTCAGAACTTAAACACTTAAAGTGCCACTTAACTCTGAGGTGCACACACTTATAGCCACTTAAAGTGAGATTTTTCCCCCTTGCGTTACTTTACGCATCATTTGATGGCGAATTTCACGGGCAACAGAAACTTCCTGTTAATATTAAAAAAACCAAAGCAATGCTAATACATAGTGCTGTCGGACCAAGAAAACTAAAAATTCAGTATAAAAATACAGAAAATCGAAATTGTTGTATCATACAAATACATAAGAATGGAGATAAGAACAAAACTAGGCTGGATAATTTTATTAATAATCGTTCGAAAAGAGTAAAAAATGTATATTGTGCACTAAGAAACACGTTTAAATCTATCCGTAGAGAAGGAATCAAAATTGGAAGAAGACTAGCATATAAGGACGGGGTACCCTTTAACCCGCTAAGAGATATTGAAAGCGATTGTTATCATTATGCTTAGAATTGCTTTAAACCCCAGGCCATTGAAGGGTTTTCTCGCTATACCTCGTGCTTCAGGAGCTACAAAGGTTTTCCGCGCACATGCCTATCTCTGTCCGGACGGGGTGGAGAACCTGGAAACGTGTTGAGACATAGGTAATCGAGCGTGTTGAATATCGTGGCAATGGTTCTTTTGGATTACTATCAGTGAATAGCCTTTTCAAATCGTTACCGATTACTACTAAAAGAAACTTTAGCTATCCAACACTTAAGACCTAAACTCAGCCTTTGGACAGGAATTTTAACCACTACCAGCAGACTTTTAATCTCTTCAACAAAAATTCGCCCTCATGCGCGAAAACTCAGACTGACCATTTTACTTTCTCTACGAGAATTTTAGTTTTCAACAGAAAAGCTATTCATAAGTTTTTGTAACTTGCTCTGAGTGGTATTGTGACACAAGCATATAATACTAACGGTCACCGGTACAGAACTGCAATCCCAACTATCAAACGTGCGGACCATCAATAGTTAAAGCAAAAATGAAACAAAAAGCCTTACCAGGTGCTTGTACATTTAGTACTGCTGCTGCTTGTTTCATAGCGGAGATTGCATCGAAAGATTTCGCTTGAAATCGCACAACTGGCGATTCGGAAAATCCCCTGCATAACAGGAATAAATTCAATGTCAAAAAGACAATAAGATTGATTAGCATATTTGTTAATCAACTGAACGTCGTTTACCTAGTATAAAAAGACAGTTTTCCAGTAAGAATTTTATAACGCCTGCGCTTTTCATAGCGGAGATTGCAGTTCTGTACCGGTAACCGTAGGTATTATGTGCTTTTGTCACAAAACCACTCAGAGGAACTTATGGAAAGCTTTTCTAACCGGGTTTTCTTTTACCGGTAAACCGTTACCTTGCATGCCTAAAGTTTACTTACCCGAAAGAGCCAGCTGAAACTCCGTAAGACAACCATACCTTCCATAGAATAACTATATAGATTTTGACAGAGTTGGGTGCAAGAACGATTCCAGTGTTCTACAAAGCATCGTCATTCCGATCATTAGGGTGGAGTAAAAACGTGCTCTACGTAGTCCTCTCGTGTACCTTCTTCACTTTGGTTTGATAATATTAGGCATGCAAGGGTAACGGTTTACCGGTAAAAGAAAACCCGGTTAGAAAAGCTTTCCATAAGTTTTTCTAAGTCCCTCTGAGTGGTCTTGTGACAAAAGCACATAATACCTACGGTTACCGGTACAGAACTTTCTATAATTGTCTTTTATCGGCTCATTTTTGTAACCATTACCGTTGCATGCCTAGTTAAGATCACTATTGGAATATATAGAGCTTATATTGCTTTTTGACTTTGTTTCTGCGTAATTTGAAACGGTATCGGTCCATTACCTTCCTCTCTTCCTCTCACGTTTATCAACAATCACTTCTTTTTCAAAGACTGCTTGATATCGTTTTACGACAAATTTCTAATGCGTCATTATTTATCACTTCCTCTCTTGTGCAAATATTGTTCATCATTCTTTTCTTTGCACAATTCTTTGTCGCCATTTTGCCAAGAAATGAAAGTCGGTGTATATTATCATGGAAGTATCGTCTATTTTTCCAAATAAGAATCACTGATTAAGTTGACTGACTCATTTTGCAAACATTGGCAAAGAAGGTACATGAGAGGACTACGTAGAGCACGTTTTTACTCCACCCTTATGATCAGAATGACGATGCTTTGTAGAAGACTGGAATCGTTCTTTCACCCAACTCTGTCAAAATCTATACAGTTATTCCTCTGAGTGGTCTCCAAATCGTAATAATATAGAAAGGTGCACTCTGATTCTGTGTTTTAGAAAGTTTTTCGTATTTTCCGAACGATTTCTGTCATATTCGAAAAACATATTTTTGAACTCGTAATCAATTCGAGACAGGATATAGTAGCATGATTAAACCCCTATCACACCATGTTCCACACACCATATTCTCTAGACTGGATCCCATACCGAGGCTTACGTTTCGTGACACTTGTCTCTTCGCACAAACTATAGCTTCAGAATCTGGTTTGCTGTCAAACCTTTATTTATATAAATAGAGGACAATACAAACATAAATAGAAAGAACGATCCTGAGTAAAAATAAAAACAGATGTAGATATATATATAACTTGACGTCATTTTTAAAGACAATGTCAGAATATTATTAACAAAAAAAGTATACACACACGTTTGCTGGGTTTGATTTTCTTTTAACATCAGCTAATTTGTGGGATGGTAGCGTTAACACCTAATGTGGTAGCCATGTTTCCTATTGCAACCACCATGAAAAACTGTTGTAATTTAAATGCTTCGTCCATTGTGAGAACATGGGGCACCTCTTGTATAGATTGTTTTGAAGATGTGTAAAGACCACCCCACTTGCTTTTCGATTCGGTGATGATCAGTAGATCGGGAGTTAAATTCCAGTTATTAGGTTAAAGAAGCTAAATGGGTTAAGAAAGGTATGGAAGTTATTTATAGCAAGAAAGATAAACACGAGAAAGTTAAAGAAGGTGAGAGTCAAAGTAAAAAAGAGAATAAGGAGGAAGTTAAGAATACATTGCTAAGAACAGAAAATCCTAGGTATTATCTGAGAATCAAAGGAAAAGTTGACAATTCAAAATTAATAAAAAGTTAATTGAGAATAATTCTTTTTCGATGGTATAACTTTAAAGTGTTTGTGATTAATTTTAGATTTTGATTGTTCTAATCTTTGTTTTTGTTTATAACACTTGTTTTTATTGTCAACTACTGATGAAGATTTTCATTAATCGAAACGTTTGGTTGAGCAATACAAATAAGCTACGAAGTAAAAAGGAAGAAATAAAAAATTAATAAAAGTTAAAAAAGAGTTTGAACTTTTCTCTTCATGTTTTATTATATTAATAAGTGGATTGTGGATCTCTAAAATATTTCGTTTCTTAGCTGCTGAGGATAATAGGTTGACAAATCGAAACGTTTAGTTAATTGTCTTACTTTATTAATATAATAAAATACGAAGAGAAAAGTTCAAACTTTTTTTAACTTAATTATCAAATTCGTAAGCAATTGTAGCATTAATTTATGAATTGTGTTTATATTTTACTTCATTATCTTTCTCCACGATATTACCACTGCTCAATGATTTTAACTCACTATCGTGTGCCATCGGTAACTCTGCACTGTTAAAGTTTTCATAACCTGATATAGAGCGATAAAGTTTGTATTTTTTAGATGTCATTGTACCATTATAGCAAATCAAATAGACTGAACTTGGCTATGAAATTTTCTGTTTTGAAATGCCAGGAAATACATAAGGATAATTAAATATCATTTCTAGACAGTGTTGTTGATCTCGTTCTATAACTTCTAATAATGCTATATCCCATTCAGGTTGAGAAATTTCAGATGTTGAAAGATGATTACCACGTACTACTATTTTTAATTTCAAATTTGGATCATTTTGAGGACTGAGCAGATGAGATTTAGCCACAGAATAATTTGTACATCGAATATCAGTTAATGGATATAAGCGATTTTTTCGTTCAACCGGATCCATAATATGTGCGCATGTTAAAATATGTGTTTTGTCAATAAATATTCCTGTAGCATATGACCACGTTTTAGTCTCTGGATCAATATAATATTCCATGCCAATACGTACTATTAATGGAGCTAATAGATTTATATATGGAATTATATCTACATTGGTTATTTCATTTTTGACAAAATAAGGTAAATCAACTTTATAACCACTCATTGTACTATTAAATGGATATGTTTGTTTTAAACTATTTGTATTTTCCCAAAATGCTCGCTCCATAATATCCACATATGAATGTTTGACTTTAATAAAGGTTTTTTCATCATCAGATGACCAGGAATTTGGTTCGCTGTGATGATCCCAAGTACAATAAAACACACAAGTTCAATTAGGAGTAAGTTTTCTTTGTTTTGAATATGAAAGACTAACAAAATGCTTAACTATTTAGGGGGAAAAATTATCGATACTTCGCACAAAACGCTCTCCCCCTGTCATCAGTGAACGCTTGTCCAAGAATAATTCCAGGGAGAGTCTACTACTTTTTCCTTAACTGAAAGGAGTGGTCTAGATAACTGAATGATGTTTATTTGTTTGACTGTTTATTTAATTTTCATTTGTTAGGCTGTAAATTACCGATTTTAGGCCATTTTTTGCCTATAAACTTTCATTCCTCTACTCCTACGGTCAATAGTACTAGAAACTTAACATTTAGACCGTTTGAGTCCACGCTAATAAGCCTTTTACAAAAAGACCAAAAGCTTTTTAACGAAAGACAAGGTCACCATTTCGTGTTTTTACATAGTAAACTATATATTTTTCTTTGTATATTTCTAAATCCAAAGTGTCTTTCACACATTCACACGAACGTGATTTCTTCAACTACCACGGTTCTGAAGAAGGATTTTTCTTGAAGCTGGACGTGTTTTGAGAGCTTCAAAAATGGCTAGAAATGTAGATTACGAATCATTTTACATCTAGGCACAATGTTTGTTTGAAAATAAAAGTATGAGAACAGTCTGTAGAGATTATTTGGGAAGTAACGCTTTTATTCATTCATAAATAAGCGCGTTCGATAACCGGTAAATGGATCTATCGGTTCTTACCGTTACTGCAGTAACGGTAAAAAAGTTTATCGGTACCGCAGGTAAATTCGGTACGGTAAAAAGTCTTTTAAAATCGTCGATTTTCTAACAAAAAAAACAATAAAAGTGACTAATGTATAACAGCAATATATTGACAACTTATACCAAAACAACGTCATAATGAACTCGAAAGTCTCTTTTCATTAGAGCAAACTGCGATTAGATCGCAATTAACAGTGCTCATCATAAGAAGGGAATCAAGAAATGAAACCAGAATGTGAGAAAAAAGTTCGCTAAAAATAATTTACTGGACTTTCACCAAAAACTCTTTTACCGCTGCCGCGGTAATCTCGTTTTTCGGTAAATTCATCTTACCGTTACCGCGGTAAAAATGTTTTTACTGTAACCGACGGTAAACTATCGCTTACCGCGCAAACTTATTTATAATCCGACCAATTTGCTTTCAAATCAGCATTTCCGATTGTTCTTAGGGATGGAAGAGGCTAAAAACTTTGCTTCGCAGAAAGTAGCTGACGAAAAAGTGTTCGTAATTTTCTGGCAGAAAGTTGCTGGTGGAAAAACGTCAAAAATTTTAGCAGAAAGTCCAAAAAATTTATTGGGGGCAGGGGAGCCAGCACTCCCCCGATCGGGAACCCTGTTTCAATTTCAGAATATATTTTATGCAACGTCCTTCATATGAGAAGAGTATTGAAAATAGAAAATACTTGTCACAAGTATAATATTGGGAAGACTGAATACTTTCTGAACACACCAATCGAAAATAATTGCGAACTGCACAAAAATATCGTTTAATACAAAAATCATTACCGATTAGCTCAAGTGTCCTTTTCTATTATTTTCCACCTCACTGAAAGCAATATTGTAGAGCCTAAAAGTAATTTACCATACTCAGGTCTGTAAGCAGAATCAAATAGTAGTGGTTGAAAGGACGAGTCATCAGTGCCATGTGATGCTATTTCTTGATAAGCCCGTAGAAGATCTTTCACAAGCACAAGTACCGCTACCATATAAATATACGAGTACCCTTTAACTGCCTCAGAGTGTCCCTAAACACTATACTAAACTTTAAGAGAGGCTTCACTAGTCGGTCGAGCATGCTTTCAAGCCAATGGAATGGTCGAAATTAACATATATTTTTTTTTAATATTTTTGGATTCTACGATCAAAAGTGGAGTTATGAAAAAATTTTTAGTCTCTTTGGACTTAATTAGACCGAGTTATAGTATTTACAAAATGGTCGGTGTTTGAGAGTCTTGAAAATGTATGTGTGGTTTTGAATGGAGAATCGAGTGAGCACATATACATAGTGATTTCCATATCGTCTCATTTTGATACCTCTGCGAAAACTTTCGTAAGTTTCCTATAGCTCAGAAAACCTCATTTTTTTTCTAGGAAAACTCAACAGCAGAACAGGATTGAATCAGCTGTTTTCTTTAGTTTTTATCAGGTTTTTGAATGTGATGCTGCTCAAACAGAACGGATGAAAAATGATGAAGTTATATCGAAAATAGTAAAGAGGATGCTTTTTCAAGACTCTCAGACACCGACCATTTTGTAAGTACTATAACTCGGTCTAATTAAGTCCAAAGAGACTAAAAATTTTTTCATAACTCCGCTTTTGATCGTAAAATCTAAAAATATTAAAAAAAATGTATTATATGTTAATTAATATGTTAATTTCGACCATTCCACTAGAATTCTCGATGGGGTCAAAGCCTCTCTTAACGAGTCAAAAGGAACTATACATTGGGTAAACTCTTAGTACGGCTTTTATCAAAACAGGTATAGAGTTCCGATAGAAAGCGTATCAAAGATAGGAGTGGCGAAGATATATCACATGTCAGATGATTGACTCCAGCCGTTTCTAAATCAAGAATGGCCTCGAGCTCAAGGCGAACAAACTGTCAAGAAAATCATCAGTTCGCATGAAACTTGTTTACACACACACTATCTGAAACTATTATGTCCTTACCACCGGCATTTGTAAGTGAAAGCGATAGTACAAGAGAAAGTATGCTGCGCTTGTTTTGTGAATTTGTAAAATATGATGCTGTATGTATCTTGGATATTCTCTTTTTATACGGTTGATTAACAACAATGCAGATCTACACAAATCGGACGTATGTACATCTTATCGTCACTAACCAGAAGATAAGGAACGTAAACAAAAATAGAACATTTTTCTCCTCAGATCCTGGCAAACAATTATAATTGTATGTATGTGAGTGGTAAGTGATATTCAAGACGTACAATGCATGGATGACGTCCTGAAGCGCTGTATACATCTTCTGTAGAAGATGCTGGAAACGAAAAATAAATAATTTTTTCTAAACTAACCGTTAACGGTCACGGCGCAGTTACGGCTGTAAAACAGGCGGAGTATTTACGGCCGTTTACGATGCAAATACGACCGCTAACGATGATTTACGGCGGTCGTATAGGACTGTATACGGTCGTTTACGGCAGTCTTAAAATTGGACCTGGCCATGTCTGCAATTCAAAAATTTTTTTTACTGAGAGTCATAATGATAATTCCAGTATTTTAGCTTGATGATAAATATTTTACGCAAAAGATTGTTTTTCACATTTTCAGTTAATTAAGCAACCCAGTTCTCATTACATATGCATTTTGAATCACTCTCCATCTCGCTTGCAACATTGCACTTGAAAAAGCACTGATAAGGGCATCATCAGCCATTCACTTGGCTTATAATTTTTCACATTGTCAACAGTGCTAACGCACACATAGACGTAGTCTTCTTCCAACCTATAATTTATGTTCATTTTGTATTCAGATGACATACACATCTACATAAACTTCTTTCATAAGATGCACGTAAGGCAGAGTTGGAGTAGAAAATAATGTGGTCGTTTTTTACATCATTCGATAGAGAACTCAGCGGCGAGTTCGAATATCACATACCCATCTCTGAAAAACCTATCCTCGCTGAGATATTCTCAAAATACTGAGAACATGTTCAAAACCGGAAAAACTGATCTTTCTTGAAAAAGCTCTGCCGTTTTTCTCACCTACATTTTCAAGGTTTGAAACAAAGGTTTTTGGGTTCAGCGTTGAAAACTAAATCTGAAAAAGTTACTGTCGAAGTCCTAAAACCAAAACCCTATCCACAGCAAATTCTCAAGCAATTTGGTTTAATTTCGAGCGAATTATGAATGAATAAAAGCCTTACTTCCCAAATAATCTCTGCAGACCAGTCTTACAGTTGTATTTTCAAAGAAACATTGTGCCTAGATGCAAAATGATTTGTAATCCAGATTTCCAGTCATTTCTAAAGCTCTCAAAACACATCCAGCTCCAAGAAAAATCCCTTCGCAGAACCGTGGTAGTTGAAGAAATCACGTTCGTGGACTATTTTGGACAGGCAAGCGTTGCGAAAGATAAAGAGCATCACGTCTCTGGTTAATTGTTTTTTCTCTTTCAAACAAAACATGATTCGACATTAATGAGCAGGGTATATTTTACTTATAATTAAAATTCAGGAATCATGTTTTTTGGAGAAAAATTATGTGCCATTCACTTTGGGAACAGAGAGTAGTCTTAAATGGAGAATACGGTGTATTTTATTACGTACACAGAGTATATTATCACTCATATAATGTTATCTTTTACATATGCTTGATGCCCTCACAGAGTTTTTCTTAATAGCTGATTGTAAACAACTAAGTTCTACACTTACACAGGTATTATATTTTGCAAAAGACATTTACCAATTTTAAAATTCACAATACGTTCACCAAATACATGATCTTCATCTGTTCCTTTCAATAAAACTAAAACAATAATGAATAAATTAAATTCATGTAGAAACGCTTTATCGAATAAGAGTCTACTTTCAACAGTTTCACCACGATTTGGGTGTTGAGTGCCATCTGCTTCTTTAAGTATTTCTTTCACTATGAGTTCATGAACGATTGTGTCCGTCATTTGGTTTAATTTCACTCTATTATATATCTGAAAGTGAAGCAACCAACTTTTTTTCTACAATCATCAATGCCTCTGAACATACACAGTATTTTGTATGAAGCTGAAATCCAGTTAAGTAACCAGTGAAGATTTGTACAGGAATCATCTAAGCAAAAGTTACTGTTTGTTCTTGAACTCTTCTGCAAGGTGTTAAGCGCTGTCGGTTACCCCGCTCAGCTTTCTGACAGATGAATATACCAAAGAAATATCTGATCTTATACCTTCAATTTGGCCATTTTGCAATACAGTATACGTTTACATTCTGTTTTTGTCAGTAGTATAGCATACACGTACGCTATCTTTTTTGACGAAGTCTAAGGAAAGTACAACAGCAAAATTCCCTTGACTTTAGTCTAGGGTCTTACAAAATGGTTGTCTGTGTGCCTGTATGTGTGCAAAATACGAAAAAATGGCTGTCAGATATTCTGTGGATAAGCGAATTATAAAAGAGAGAAAATATTCAAAGAGATGACTGAAGCAATAATTAGTGATGCGAAGAGAGAAAAAACCAAGCTAACTTGCTGTAGTTGCGAGATAGATGTCGCCAGAAATCAGTCAACACAAAAAAGTGATCTACGGACAAAAAAAATTACCGAATACAGATAGTCTATCGTGGCGAATTGATCAGAAATACTTCTTTTTTTTCTTGATCAAGAAATAATGTGCAAAATTTCATCATTCTAGACCTTACCGTTCGATTTAAAAGTCACCAAAGGGAATCCGCCTGCGCAGATCCAAGTTAATCAAGTCAAGAAACCGAGCGAGTGGAAACGCGCGTTACCTTGTCTTATTGCGTTCTATCTATCCGAAATGGAAAATATGGAATAACAATTCATAGGGTGACCAATCAGCATATGAGTAACATATCAATGCACAAGGGACAGAAATGCTAAGCAAAAAGAAACCAAAAGTAAAACGCTGAACAAAAAAAAAGAGTGATAGTAGCAAACACATTTGTCTAAGTCACAAAATAGATGTCGCATGAAACCGGTTATTATGGCATTGAAGGAAGTACCAAGCAACGAACTTTATGTTGGCAATAGTAAATATTCGTGAATATTGTGATGCAATTGACAAGTGTCAATGATGAGTTGTAGATTTGTGTCATTAAAAGTTGAACTAGCTTTGAACTATGGGAATAAAAGATTATTTAGTATCATTACGAATATCGCAATTATCTTACCCGAGTATAATTAAACGTATTTGACCCAAACAGGATGAACATAAAATGTATAGTGTACACCCGACTTCACGCGAATTTGATGAGTAAAATGTCAAAATTGTCAGCGTATTCAGTAGAAGACCGATAACAATCATTACTACTACACTGATGATGGTTAATTTAATCGTGAACGGTTGTTGTTTTAATGGTACACTAATTATAACCTTTTGACAAATTAATGAATCCAGTGACAATGAATAATCCGATAAACTGAGTTGACACAGTGAGCCTGAATAACATTTCTGACATAAGCAAATATAATTCAACGGTTTTACTTTATTATCTCGGATGCATATACTGTTATTCCCGCATATATTCTCTTTTGCACATTGATCTTGTGCATAGTTGAACAGATAGCATCGCGTCGTTTGATATCTATCGCATAGACACATATAACTATTGTCAAAAAAACAAAGCAATTTAACATTTTGTCTACACGGTAATTGATAATATTTGATTCGTTTGAAATAGTCAAAACTCATCACAGTCGAATTAAATAATGTTTTTGCATGTGGACATTGCATATTTTCGTTCACCGTCAAATTTTCGGTATACGTGTGAAATTCTATAAGAAAATATGAACTAAATGGACCATTAGTTCCGTCATCCTGAAACAATTGGAGAAAACCGACATCAGCATGGTTAATATAAACTGTTATCGTCGAATTATTTCCTAGCGAAATGCCTCGATGGAGTGAACGATGGAAATGATTTATTGTAGAGGCGTCAATGTGGCAATAATGAAGAACAAAAACAGGTAAAGCAACTATTTTGATTTTTTTCAAATCAAATATGATATTGCGAATGTCGAATTTTTATTCACACCTTTTACCGAAGAACTGTTGGATACATATACAAATAAATTTTTCCGTAGACAAATCTATCATCGCTAATCAGACGTTTTCCATTATTCATGCATGAATCGACTTTACATGAATTATATGAAATTTGACAGTTTGAATCAATTTTATTTATCGGACACAAACATAGTGGTCTTTGAGTTGATCCTAAACTGATGCAGATTGAGTTTTTATGACATTGATTGCAATTCGTATCATCGTTATCACATTTTTCTCCAAACCATCCCTGATCACATCTGCAAGAATATCTATGGTTGTCATTTGAATATTTAGTACGTATTCCATGTATACATTTGCACCGTTTCTTATCGATATTAGCAAACGCAGGTCAAACTAATTTCAATGATAATCTTTGAACTGGTAGAAACTCAAACCCCAGTGCATAGTACCAGATGTTAATGTATTTGACATGGTCAACTAAGATGCTGTGTGCATCAATACGAATATAATGATTAGAATTGAACGTGCTCGATTGAAACAATAAAGAGAGATAGTATTTTTTAAACGAGTAAATGTAGGATACATGTTTAATTTCTGCATAATCGGTTACTTCATGAGTATCACAGGAAATAAAATAAAATATAAAATTTATAACAGTTAGTGGTTCAACTAATTGCATTGGTACATAAAACTTGACAATGATCGACAGACGTTTTCGCCGATATTGGCATCTGTCATCATAGTAAGGAGCTGGTCAATTTGGCAACTCTTCTTCACTAAGCCGGAGGACAGAAACAAACATCTTTTAGAGTACGTTGATTTTGTACTACTAATCCTCGGTTGCAATACCAAGCAAGATATAATTTGTCATTGTATGTTAAAACACTTTGTGTTAGTACCCGTTCGTCTGGAAGAAAATCGTTCTTTTCGTCACGTGACGATACAGCTAGCCGGTCACTTTGACCTGGCAAAGGATCAATCATATTCGTTACATCGCTGTGAATGATGCTCTCGTCAACAATATCACAAAACCATTCGTCCTCTGCGTTGTCACAATCTACCTTTCTATTGCATCGGACCTTTCTGGAATACCATGATCTTGACAGAAAAAACCACATCCAGTAACAAACACCTTATTCGAGTGCAAACGTTTTGCACTGTCTAAAATGTCACCAGCACCAGCACCAGCACAAACTCAAGAAATAAATAACCCCCTATCCGATCAAATCAAAGCTTCGAGTTTACAACTTCCATTAACCCCAGAAGCTACTAATTTTGTTATAAAAGATTTTATTTCTTACCCTGGTCAAGTCAAGAACGAAATATATCGTTGTTTCTAGAGAATGACTTGAACGAATATTAAATATTGTTTTCATTAAAAATATAAATTCTGATACGGAGTAACAAAAATTCTTTTCGACTAATGACTGTTTCACTTATTTAGGAAAAAACTGTCCGCTGACTTTTTAAAAAGACTGTCCGCCAAAGAAACTTCCCCCCTTGATTAAAAACAATCGAAAAGTCTGGATCGTCCTACGTGAGAGTCAAGTTTCTAAAGTCAGTTTCAGCTTCAGAAACTGTACAACACTATACAATTCGTTCTTAGCGCCCAAGTTAGAAAATAATTATGCCAGTTTGTAGAGAATTGAATTTTGCATCGAATGAAGTGTTGTTCAACCTTTTCTATAAAAGTTTCTTGGTCAGGAAACGCAAAATACGATTTTTCAAACGCTTCAAACAGGATTTTGACGGTCTAAATGCATTTTTTTATGAAAGCTAATACTAGTTTCGTAATCAGCGTGAAAAACTACATCAAGAAATGTATTGAGATCGGTCCTACTATTACAAAATATTTCCAAAAACTTAATCATCGAAGTGTCGCATTACGTAGACAAGCCGCAATGAAGAAGCCGCTAACAAATTTATCATTTTAATTTGATATCTAGAAGAATATCAAGTTTCAAAATATAGTACAGTAATATATATGTCCATTTTTTAAAGTAATTTTATTATTCTCTTTTAAGAATGTTCTTATAGACAAATTTGTCGTAAGACTTGATCCATTTCTTGCTAATTATCTTAATCTTTTTTGTATAATGCTAAATTTAAGTGTAGATATTAGTATTTGTTTTTGTAAAATACTATTTAATATTAGAGCAAATCAAATAATTATATAAGGAATGATTCATAACATTTCCATAATTTAATCATAAATTAATCATATTATTAAATATGTTATTAAATTAAGTGATTAAATAATGATTAAATAATGATTAAATAATTAAATATTACATTAATAATGTATTGATGTTAATATAATTATTATTTTGTCCTTAGAGAATGTTACAGAGTGTGTTTGTGTTTCTAAGTGCAATTATATTATGGTCAAATAGTTTCACAGTATTGTAATATTCATTCGCATGTTTATTTACTTTTACGTTCTGACTGTTTTTTAAACATGTGTTCTGATAGAATGAAACGAAAAAAATTCTTAATGCGTCGTTACTCTGTGAAATAAAAGCAGTATTTTTGTTTTCGATGGCATCAAAATCAGTGTTGCTGGATTTACCAAATGAGCTTTTTCCATTTATTTTTCAATACTTGAGCTCAATCGATCTTATAAAAGCATTTTCCGATCTACAATCGCACCGGCTTCAAGCGCTCATTCAACCTTTTATATCACAACTTGATGTTTCTCAAGAATCTGATACATGGATTCAAACTTATCTACCAGATATATTAAACAAACACAATATTATTGCACTTCGTCTACAAATGAAGTATCTTGTCTTCATATCTGAATATTTATTATCAACTAACATTCAATCTGTAGAAGTAATTAACTGGGGTCCTATTGATGATACAGGAAAAACAGTACTAGGTCAACTTCGACGACATTTAAAAATGTTTTTTATGACGTGTCCATATTCGGATGAAGATGGAGATCTAGCAAGTCACTTATTTCAATCCGATTCTCAACTTCAACATCTTGCTATAAATAACTGTACGCTTTATATTAATGATATTGACATTTGCACTCAATTAACACATCTTTCAATTGAACTTGAAGGAATGCATCCACTATTTATACTCGTTGAACATTTAACTGGTATTCAGGAATTGAAGGTTAATGGAATTCAGTCATTTATCATTTCTATTTTTTATATATCGTTTTTTTCGTTATCTTAGGTCAAAATTCGAAGTCAAGACTGCATTGTTCAATTACCACCCGAGACTAGTGAAATAAAACCATGTCGTTCACTTCATTCTGTTACTTTTACCGGCTGGATTAAGTATTTTGATCATATGAAAAGTTTCTTCACTAATTTTGGCTCGACTATCGAATGTCTCTCGTTAAACATCGATTTAATGTTTCTTACAGTGGATGGTAAAGGACTGGAACAGGGACTATTGGACAAAATGCCTCGTTTATCATCACTTGATTTAATCATCCATTCCACTGTAGCAGATTCTGATCCATTAGACATCAAAACATTCCAGAGTTTCACTTGGCAAAAGTTCAATCCTATAGTGTATTGGAATGATAGACATGCTCATCAGCATACGATTTTCACCTTACCATATAAATGTGATCAAGTAAGAGATTATTTTGATTGAATATAAATTATAACCATTACTTTTTCGTGTTTTCAGTTTCATCATCTTTCAAACGAATTTGTTTCATCATGTGTCTCAAATCGACCAGTTTCTCTTTCTTTTAAACATGTTCGTTCCCTCTCACTCACTACTACAACATCATTAACTATGGAAACATTTCAGTTCATTCAAAAAGCATTTCCAAATGTTAAAACACTTGAATTAACAAATTGGATCAAACATCCATTAGATGAAAGTGAAGAAGATACAAGTGTTTCTTCCGTGAATGAAGATCTTCTTTTCGATACTACTTTACAAATACCGTCTGTCACTCAATTCTGTCACTTCACATGGTCACAATATGATAATTATAAGACATTTCGTCGTCTTCTTTCTCTTTTTCCAAACTTGATTTGTCTAGAACTGGATATTGAACAATCAATTCTGCGTGATATATTAACGCTTGCACATAAAGATGATTTGGTCAAAACTTTATTTGCTAATATCGAACAACTGAAGATAAGCGATTTTCATCATGAAGCAAAGCCATTGATAGACGCAGAATTTCATCATTTTTTCCCCAGAGTTAAAAATCTCATCACTGAAGACGATGATGATGCTGACATTGAGTGAATCGTATTTCTAATCAATTAAATATAACTGAAATGCCTCATAATAATGATGAAACATTGTAGTGGATATATTCTATTCACCAACTCAATTAGTTGTTTAATTTATAATTTAATTTTTGGTTAACTTTAATACAATTCCTCGTTCAGAGAATTTTCAAATTATATTTGCATATCTCAATTATTCTCCACGCTCCGACACCTTGTGTTGTTGAGAGCCTACAAAATTCTGTTAAAAAAAATCTTTTTCTTCTGCTTATGCCTCAAAGACATTTTTTTCCTTACTGCAACAAACATGCTTGCACGAACCGAGAACGTAAAAGAAAATAAAGTAAGTCATCATCAGTAATCCAGCGCAGAAAAAAAATAAAAAGAGAATGATGTATTGACATAGAGCATGGAAGAAATACTTTTACTCTATTTTCTTATCAAGCATTGACTTTTTTTGAATTTTTATAAAAAAAACACACTATTGTTTTTAACCGATGGGATATCTCTTAAGTGCGAGCGATTAGAGACGTAAATCAATTAGAGAAAGTCGTGTAGCACAGTGGGCAATTTTGATCAGACACGTGGACATGTGTCATAGAAGTGATACGAAAGCCTCTAAACACTATATCTATAGGTTTTCGTATGCGCTTTTTCGATAGGTGTGATTTGCAAGATCAAAGATGTTTTTACCAGGATTTTCCAGAGATCTAATTTTTGGAAAACCTAACTAAAAGTGATTTCGAACTTTGTAAATCACACCGTTACAAAGCCAAAAATGGAACCTCACTTTACTGGACACACGTTTTCAGAAAACACGTAGCGAAGGAAAAACAAATATTTTCGCGGTTCCAAAACGTACTAGGAAAAAATTATTTTTACGAATAGACAGACAGAGTGACAGGTCTAGTTTCGAACTATGTATAATCTTTTGAGGTTATCATATTCGGCTTCGGGAGAAACAATATTTCTATATTCATAGGTCTGATTTTAAAGGAAAACTTGCATAAAGGTTTTCTTACTTAAGACGGCACTTAGAAAAAAACTTCCTATGGCAGTTAAATCGAGAGTATGTTAACGCATATGGCCTGCTATTCAAATTTTGTAAAAGTTTACTTTCGTTTTTTTCCCTAAAGTCCGCGTGGTTGCCCACTGTGTGTAGATGATTATAATAGAATGGCTGCAGCACGAAATTCACCACGATGCAGAGATCCAATGCACAATGGGCCACCTGCAGAACGCAGTTCGCCACGATGCAGAGAACCAATTCACAACGGCTCAGCTTCAGAACAACGTAAGTCGAGTTTTTAACAAATTTTTTCAAAAACAACTTTTGCACATTTAATAAATTATATAATATAGATATGGAGATTCATGATGTTTTTATCAATGGTGATGGAAAGAATGATATCATATGGAAAGTGAGTTTCAACAATTTTTCTTTTATTTCTTTTACTTACTGCATTCATTGACAGATAATGGGTTAACAGCTGCATAAATCAAAAAGGTAATCAAAATATTATTTCCTGATCTTTCTATTGATTCAGAAATCAAAAGTACTATTGAATATAAACAACAACAAAATCGTTTTGGAGACCTCAAGGCGTAAAGTCACCAAGACGTAAGTACGTGTTATTTGTTTCGCTATTGACTTTTTGATGATTTAATACATGGAACAAATACGTAAATGAAACTTGGCATGTAAAAATAAAAAAACTTCGATTTTTCATGAAATGGACGCTCCGATCAGGTCACATAGGTAAAAAATAGCACGTGAATCCTAAAACTAAGAGCAAACAGAATTTCGATAAAACTTCTATTCTAGAGCAAAAACACTTACCTTTGCCAAGATAGTTTTTGGTACTTTTGGTATAGGAATTGTTTTGCAATTTCCTCGTTTGCCTTGAGTTTTTAAATGAAAACTAAGTCTGTTTCCGTAAGCAGCATCCAGTTTTAATCGACTGATCTGTTATACAAGACACATGGCAAGAAAAAGGTCTAAGGGATGGTCTGAGACGTACCGGTTTGGATCGAAAAAGTGAAAGTGGTTTTCGCATCTCGTATTTCGTTCAGAAATTCGATAATGGTTGCAAATGTCCTCTTGATTTCGGATAAATTCAAACCAAATGAGAAAGTTATGAAGCAAAGTCTTACTTGCTCATCGAAAGCACCAGAAATGCTCTCGGGTTAGAAACAGCCGTAGCTTAGATATTTAGCAAAAACGATAGTCACGGAGGCTAAAGCATTTCAAAAACATTAAACTTCGAAAAATCAAGCTTAATTTGGTTCTGGGTCAGATATACTGCTTTCCAGTCCAAAATTTTCACTCATATGACCGGTCTGAGTCAACAGACCAACGCTGTCAGAAAATTAAAATTTAGCCCTTTAATTTATGGAATTTATCTAATAATTTTTTCACTAGGTAAAAGAATTGATGAAGAAAAAGATGCGGGATATTGAAGTCGTCTGAAAACTTAATTAGAAATTCACTCTTTACACTACCAAAAAGTACATGTTTTCTAGATTCTATTGATTATGAATTTAATTTATCATCAATTAATTATAAAACATTTCCACTTTATAATGTATTAAACAAGCATTAAAATCCTGTGAATTTTATTCTTAATGTTGTATTATAGCTTTTCATTGTCAGCATTCATATGCTCATACATCATCATCGAAATCATCAGTTCAATCAAACCTTAAAGAACTGGATACTATTTTACTTAGGGCATACCAAAAGTTCGTAGGGTGATACCTTAATACCTGATGATAAGCTTTAAGTAATTTTCTTTCTATAAAGTTTGATAGAGAAAAGAATGTTCTATTTTTCTATGCTATTTGACCATACGTCAACTAATTTCATAATAATAAATATTCGATAAGATCTGTTTCGTTTGCATACGTGCTGGTTATATGAATACTGATGAGTATTTTTTGAATAACTTTTGATAAAAACAAGATAGAGAGCTGCGGTTTTTACTACTGGAAAGAGTAGATAAAGACGCATCGAACAGTATATTATAGGTTTTTATAATATGAATTCATATGTTTTTTTTATTCAGTTTTCTGTTGCAAAAATAGTTTTTTTATGAAAAAACGAAAAAGCAAAAAATAGTGGTGGTTTTTATAGATTTTGCTAGGAAATCGTACTAGAGGGTCGACTAGAACACATATTATTCATCTCAGCCTTTTGCATTTTGTAGATCTTCGATTCATGGTTTGAATTTATACTTGATAATTCAAAATTCACTGTAAATAATTTACCAGATTTGTTTGTTCTTAAAAAAGTCAATAGAAAACCTTACAAAAAACAAATCAGGAAATCCTGGAATATACGATTCGATGTGTCTTCATCTCCTCTTTCCAACGGTGAAAACCGCAGTTCTCTATTTTGTTTCTTACAAAAATTATTCAAAAAATACTCACTCGTATTTTTTACAATTAATATTAATACAACCAGCATGTATGCAAACGAAACAGATCTTATCGAATATTTATTATTATGATATTGGTAGAAGTATGATCAAATAGCGTAGAAAAATAGAGCATTCTTTTCGCTATCAAACCAAGTTACTTAAAGCTTATCATAAGGTATTAAGGTATCATCCTACCAACTTTTGGTATGCCCTAAGTATTTGCTGTTGCTTAGGAAGTAAATTTAAAGTTGAATGTCGTCCACAATATAATGAAGAACAAAATTAGTTTAAAATTAAAAGAGAAGAATTATATGATCGATATTCAGTTGGTATATTTGGTAAACAATTTCAAGAGTTTAATGAGGTTTTACATTCCGATGAATTTTCAGCTGATGAATTAGCACCAATGACCGCAGATCAAACTGAACGAATTGATGGTATTATTTGGATAAATAATGATAGGCTATCTAACCATGAAATACAAAATACATTTCTCAGATGTGGTAATGAAGCTAACATTGAAATTTACTATACAACAGCTGTTATCTTTATACATATACCAACATTTGAAAAGCGAAAAAAGTTTCTGTTTTTTGCTGTTGATTGAACTGTGTGTTTTTCGTACAAATACATACATAAATAGTAGTCTTAGGGAGAACGTCATTCCGGCAAATAGAGAAGGTCACCTATAAAATGAAGCAGACGTCAATCGAACAAACAACATTTTATCGGAGTCGAAAGAAAACTAATTCATTCCCAATGAACAAGAGGGTATATCGAACTCTATCAGTCTTTTTGTTACCTCGTCATGAATGGGTTTAACTGAAACAGTCATCATCGGAGACGTATCCCACAGCGATCTGGCGAATTATGTATAGTTGTAGATTTCTCGTTCTTCCAACCGAACGACTTCTCTAACTTCCGAAGAATTTCGCTATCACCACCTGTAATTTTAGACCTTCCTCCCTTTCTATCTGTAGGAATTGTACTTTTTAAAAATTCGGAGTAGTTTATCCGTCATATCTAGGATTTTTGATTCAGATGATTCTAATGTTTGATGCATAATAAACTCCGCCTCACAACGTAAAGGTTCTCCTCTGGGTTCAAAATAATCTTGTTCCATCAGTCTCTTAAGTCTGAATCGTTTGCTCCAAATGTCTGACGAGAGATGTCAAATTGTAACAATATAGGAAAAATATTATTTAGAGCCAAATAGTTTCGAAAGCGGTAAAAGCGATTATATTCCGTTCGATATTTCCCGAGCACTTCATTCGTTTGCACCGCCGTTAAACTAGTCTGAGTGATCATTGATTGACATGTCTGTACCCATGCACAGTTTACAGCCTAGCATCAAGTGTCCGCGGTTCATTTCACAGAATACTCTTGTGCATAATTTATTATTATGTACTTGAGTTTACAGTCAATAATTAATCCCCCAACAGACGACACTAGGTGAGAGTTCGCTGTAGTAGCCGTAACTACATTAGTTCATCTCGCTCGAGAATTCGATAAAATAATGAAATTAGAAAAATTATTAAATTGAGCATTCAATACCAGATCAGTAGTATTATTTATCGTAAATTCATTAGTTCTGTGCGCAGATTCCACCAGCTGGCAAGGTTGTGAAGTAATGGTAGCTATATGACTAGTTGAAATGGATGAGATAATACAACTTTTGCTCTCCTTCTCGTGATTAGGAGCCTTCATAGCAGCTACACTGTTCTGATCAGTAAAGTCGTTCGTTTGTCTGATATCGAGCCAGAGTAGATCTACACAGCGGATCCTTATTATTAAACATACTGAGTAGAGGTGGTGGAAACCTAATGAATCTACTTAATTCGTCATTATATATGCGAGTTATCTTTTCTTCATATGTTCAAAATTATCCTTCCGTTTAAATTTACTTCTGCTAATCCGACACCATTGTTTGACATCATATCAGTAATTTTGCAGGTATTACCAAGAATACCTGCACAGAAACATAGAATCATATGATGGCAAACAACGCTGCCGCATTAGCACAAGAAGTAAGTGATTAAAAAATCAGAGAAATCTTCAATCTCAACATAAGGTGCTTTCCATTTCGTAACATATTTATTGTATATGCTTTTTCACTTTCTTAAATTCTGCACTATGTATAAATTGCTGTTATAATCTCGTTAAATCCTAGATAGAATTTCACGTTTTTCTCTTTCATGGACAAAGGTGATTTAGTAAATAAACAAAACCACGTAAAAAGCGATGGAATTCTGAAGCGTCTTCGATGGCTACAGAGAAAAATAACTTTAGGAGTACGATGAATAGGAACATCAGAGAAACAAATAAAATAGAAAACAAAAAGGAAACGAAAAAACAGACTAAATAAAATTTAAAAGAGAAAATGCTGGTTCAAGGTTATTTGCCAAAATGTCAAATTGACTGGGAAAGAGAATTGAACAGCAAGAAAAGCAAAATATAAAGGATGAGATATTCTGTGGCAAAGAAAGAACTGTACTGTAGTATGTGAACGAAATCAATACATGTGAACATGCACAGCGAACACAAGAGAATGCATGTTCATAATGTATAACACAAGGGGTGAATACAGTGGAATCTGAAAAGCTGTTCATACTGCCGACGTTGCTTTCTCTATGGTATTCCACTAAAACAAAATTTGCCCAATTTCGAACAAACTTTTAAGAATGTAGGACGTTTAAAATTATGTTTTTCGTTCTAAATGTATCTCTATTTCTGAGATGAACTTAAAGATCTTTGTTTCAACGAAGAATTTTAAGCAAACAAATTAAAAATTAGTTCATTATGTAGAGAATTTTGTGCTCTATTTCTCATGTTAATTGCGCATCATTCGCACTTGACCTGAATTAATTAATGAGAAATTATGAAAATTAAAAGAGATAGTCGTTTTTTCTATATATATGCTTTGGGGTAATTATGATCACTCTACTATTTTTTATGGGGTAATTATGATCAGTTCGTGCAAATTACACGGAATAAACAGAATTTGACGTGTACCGATCTCCAGAAATCGGCTTTTAGTCTAGTTCCAGTGAAAAATGTCTTCGAGAATATTATAATTAATTACATATGTAAAAAGCGGAATAAAAACGCGTGTTTTTAGTGAGTATTGTGCATAGAATGAAGATGGTTGATTATAAATGCATTTCTGTTCATTAAAATTAGCAGAATAATTAAG